GCTGCGGGGCTCCGGGGGGTGTCCCCGCCCTGCGCTCGGGGTCTCTGTGCGGTGCCGCCCCCCCCTTCGGGACCAGCCCCCCTTCCTTGCTGGGGTCTCTGGGCACCTCTCGGCCCCCTCCTTTCTGGGGCGGCCGTTGGGGAGCTGGCATGCCACCCACGGCCTCGGGAAGGGAGGGAGGTGGGCAGGGGGGACACCTCCCCCCCCCCATGGGACCCACAGACCCCCCCCTCTCCCCACTGCCCCCCAAGGTGTTTCCCCACCGCGGACTCCTCAGACCCACTTTGTGTGCATCCCTTTTGCCTGCCCTCATCTGGGGGCTCGAGGGCTGGGCAGGAGCAGTCCTGGAGTTTTCTTTGCTGAGTTAAACCCCAGCAAGGGGGTTAACATCGTCCTGGGGTGGCCTCTGATATTTGCATCCCACTCCCAGTCTCCCCTCCTGCTACTCAGGAGAGAACTGTTCTAGAACTGCAGCCATGGAGCTCTGAAGACTGGTGGGTTTGGTCTGTAGGAGCAGCAGGAACGTCTGTTTTAACAGTATTTCTGTTAAGGGTGCTCGATAAATGGTCCCTCACCTTGCAGCTCCTCCTCCCCAGTCCCCTTTGCTTTAGGAAAGCTGCTCCGGGGAGCTGGGCTGCCCTGTCTCCCCATCATGCACCCCAAGGGAAGGCAGAGCCAAGAGCACCCCGTTAGGTCCTGTGCTGCCCGGGGGAGCTGGGGAAGGAGCAGCCGTGGTTATTACTGACATCTCTGGGGGCTTCTGCTGCTCAGCCTCGGTCTTGGGAGGGCAGGGAGCTTGGCTTGCAGCGTTATCTCTGCGAGTCTCAGCAAAGCCTCCCAAGCCTGCTGACGGGAGATGAAGGTATTTGATCGGATTAGGGCTTCTGAGAAGTCAGATGAGCTGGAAGGGGCAGGCAGCTGTGGGAGCATCCCCACACAAAACTCCCATCTCGGTGTCCGTGCCTCTTTGACAGCTTTCTGTGCCTTCTGGGGCCAGCGGGCAGGAGTGGCACAGTAACCACCGAGCAGAGGACATCTGCTCTCCCCTCCCTGCTCGCCTAGTCACTCTTTCTTGGTTGAAGATGCCCTGGGGCTTTCCGAGTTGTTATTTTAGCAGCGTGCTTCTGCTGCAGGGGTTACGGTCTGCTAGATGTACAGCAAACCCATCTAGCCCCTGTCTGCACCTCACCCTTTTTATCATGCAGTTTTTGGTTGCCTGACAGGGGAAAACAGAGTCTGGAGGTTCTCCTGGAAAAGGGATGACAACAAAGCTCACCCCTCTCCTTCCAGAGACCTTTCTGTCCCTCCATCAGGGAGGTGACCGAGGGGCTCAGCGTTGGGCTCAGGCTTAAGGGGTTTTGTTGCTCGGTGGCTGCTTTGTTCTGGACAGCAGAGCTTGGGAGTTGAAACAAAAGTTGCTTAATCCTCTCAAACTGCCTCGCAGACTTAACGCTGCCTGCAGGCATCAGGCCTCAAGCAGCTTGTCTGTCTGTGGGTGCTAATCGGTGCTTAGAATAGCAAATCCCTCTGCAGAGGGAGGCACAGGAGGGCTCTGCCAGGCAGAGCTGTGTTCCTCACCCAGCTTCACCTGTCCTCCAGCCAGTGATGGAGCTGTCCTGACCTGGAGAGTGATCGTGCAGGTGCCCATCCGTGGAAGAGCAGCCCCAGGCCGTGGTGCAGCAAGCCCTGGTGGCTTGTCACAGCAGTGGCAGTGCTGGAAGGTGTCCCCATCCAAACATCTGGCACACCATGGAGGGCACACGAGTCATCCAGAGACAGCAGAGCTGCCTTGAATGGAAGCCAAGTTCCTTCTCAGCTGCACATGTTGGACCAAAGGGGATCGTGTTGGTGCTGATTTTGGTCCTTGCTTAGCTTGGGGGGTTTCTCTGTGTGTTCTTGATGCTGCTCTTATAGAAGGTGACCGGGCTTTGAGGCAGCTGAAATGTGATTCTGTGACTTGGGGAGGGCAAAGAGGTTGTGTACAGGGTCCTTGTGTCGAGGACTCTGTCTCCTCAGTGCCCCTGCAGTGTTTTCTGGGCTGGCTTTGGCTGTTCCAGAGGTCTGTGCAGAGCAGGAGTGCCTCAGCCCACCTGGTGACAGCTCATGGTGTGTGGTGTCACAGCCAGCAGCCAGTTCTGCTGTGATACTTGGTAACCATGCCTTTGTTCTTCCCTTCTCCAGCTGCCCCTTCCTCGCCAGTCACCTCACCTTGGCCATCCCCATCATTGCAGCCATCCTCTTCTTCTTCGTCATCAGCTGCCTGCTCCAGACCAGCTTCAGGGACCCTGGAATCCTGCCCAGAGCCACTCCAAGTGAGGCTGCAGACCTGGAGAAGCGGATTGGTGAGACTCTGTTCCCTCTCCTGTCTCCAGGCCAGTGTGTGCCTGTGTGTGTGTGAGCACACGGGGGCTCAGGGGAGGGAGAGGTGTGACATGGGTGTCCTAACGATGGCCACGCTGTAAGGGACTGTGTACCAGCATGAAGTTCCACTTCAGAATCACTCTGCCAGGCTTTAGAAGAACACAGAATCATGGTTTGGGCTGGAAGGGACCTTTCAAGGTGATCTGGTCCAACCCCCTGCAGGGAGCAGAGACATCTGCAGCTAGAGCAGGGTGCTCAGAGCCCCGGCCAACCTCCCCTGGAATGGTTCCAGGGATGGGGCAGCGACCACCTCTCTGGGCAGCCTGGGCCAGGGGCTCACCACCCTCAGCAGCAAACATTTCTTCCTTCTCTCTAGTCTAAATGTAAAACAGAGCCAGAGGGCCTGTGCTGCTCCACAACTGTGTGTTAGTCACTCTAAATATTATCCAAACTCAGAGGACTCTACCCCTGTGCATCCTCCTGTAAAATACCTGTGGTGAGGACGCAGGGCAGTCAGTTGAGGCAGGAGTGTTTTTTGGAGGTTACCATTTGCCTTTGAGCCTGTTGTGCCACAAGGTTTCCTTGATTGGGATGGTTTCTAAGAGTATGCTCATGATTGTCCCTGTCTAAAAACTGCTTTGTCACGCCGGTCTGGTGGTGGCCAGGAGGGTGTGTGGCCAGGATCTTGGTGGCAGAAACAAATGCTTCAGCAGAGCTAATGCAAGACAGCTTGAGTCTGCCCCACTGAAGACAGTTGCAAGGCAGAAATTCTACATCTGACTGAAAAAAAAAGAGTTTTAAAATATCCTCAGAGTGGTTTTCCATGTTTCTATTTATAAGCGCCTGAAGCAGTAATCTGGCTGCAGATGCTGCCTGATGTGCCAGCTGTTGCTGTTAAAATAATCCACTTATTATCCTCTTAACGTGCTCCCTGTTACCTCTCTGCTTTCAAAGACTTTCTCAGAGTTGGAGAGGTGGTTTTTTTTAAAGAGTGAGGGGAAAAAAAGGAACAACCCCTAAAATGGCAAATGTATTACAGAGATTTTCCAGCTTTTTGCTGAGTAGAGAGTCTCCAGCTGCCCATCCCCAGCACACACAGGTGGAACTTGTGGTGTTCCTAAAAAATATCTTCAATTTCAACCTTGGGGAGGAAGAATCCTCTTGTGCTATCAACATCTGTATATGAAATGTCAATGAAATCTGCCTGGAGCACGTGAGTCCTGCTCCACTGTGGTGGAGATGAGTCCTTGGACCTGGTGGTGCTGCAGCTGGGGGTGGGAGGAGATGCTCCTGCTGGGGTTACCCCTGTTTCTGTGACTGGGGAGCTCACAGCAGAGGAGGAACCACACCTCTGTTGATAGATGATGTTGTCTCCTCATGCTGTGATCTGCTGGACACGCAGAGATGAGCTGCTGTTGCTGGGCACGTTAACACTGCTGCTTTTGTGCTCCCTGTTTATGTTGCTTTCTGTTCCCAAAGCACTGGGCAGATATTGCATCCTCTTGGCATCCCAGCAGCATTGCCACTGAACAGATGAGGAAAGGACACAAATAATGCTGCGAGGAGCTGACTGGAGCTGCCCACCCTGCAGCAAATCAGAATCATTCTGGTTGGGAGAGACCTTTAGGTTCATTGAGTCCAACCCTCCCCCATCCCTGCCAGGTCCCCACTGCCCCGTGTCCCTCACACCACATCTCCACGGCTTGGAAACCCCTCCAGGGGCGGGGACTCCACCACTGCCCTGGGCAGCCTGATCCAAATCCTGGAGGCTGAGCTGCCTCTTGGCTTTTGCTGAAAACCATGAGAGCACGTGCAGCTCCCTAACCCTGCCGGGGAGGGCTTGGGTTTCACCTGTGCCAGCCTGACTGTCCCTCCTTGCCCTTGCAGACAGCATGGGCACCTCTACCTACCGCCCGCCGGCCCGCACGATGGAGGTGGTCATCAACAAGTACGTGGTGAAGCTCAAGTACTGCTACACCTGCAAGATGTTCAGGCCCCCACGCACCTCCCACTGCAGCGTCTGCGACAACTGCGTCGGTGAGCCCGGGGGGGCTGGGGGCTGCTGGGCAGGCTGCTCTGCCTTCTCCTAAAGGGAAGAGAGGTCATAGAATCACAGATGGGTTGGGTGGAAGGGACCTTTCAGGGTCATTGGTCCAACGCCCCTGCAGGGAGCAGGGACATCCCCAGCTAGAGCAGGGTGCTCAGAGCCCCGGCCAACCTCCCCTGGGATGGTTCCAGGGGTGGGGCAGCGACCACCTCTCTGGGCAGCCTGGGCCAGGGGCTCAGCACCCTCAGCAGCAAACATTTCTTCCTTCTCTCTACTCTAAAAAATCTGCCTCTTTTAGTTCCAAACCACCCCCCCTGTCCTGTCCCTGCTCTGAAGTCTGCCCCCAGCTTTCTGACAGGCCCCTGGCAGTCCTGCAAGGCCCCCAGAAGGTCTCCCACTCTTAAAGTGAAAGCAGCTCCAGTGCAGTGCCTCGGGGCAGGCACGTCTCAGACTCTGTGTCTCTTCTGCCCCTGGTTCTGGGAGGACAGTGCTGTGAAATGCAGTGAAGGCCTCCACCACACACAAGGTCTTCTACCAGCTCCCAGTTATGTGGCCTTGAGTAGAGACCCCCAGAGATGCTGCTTGAGCTGTCCTCAAAGGCAGCCCTGTTGTTAGGAGGCTGTCGGGGCGTATCCAGGTAGATTGCTCCTACCCCGGGTTCCCAGGCAGCTTCTGTGGTTTCTGAGGGGTATCTTTGTAACTTTGACAACTATTTTCTGCCTCAGAGAGGGCAGGGGGAGGTGCCAGGCAGGGAGGGAGCAGTGGTGCTGTGTGCCCACGCCCAGGGCTGCGGGGTGCTGGACGAGCTGCTGTGCTCTCCCTGCCCCCTTTCAGTTTTAGTAATGGTAGAAGGTCACAAGGCTCATTCGTGTGCAGGGTTTGGTGAGAGGAAAGGTTTGGCCTTTCATGATAAAAAAAGGCAACTGAGTAGGCAGCAGTGCTCTCTTGAAACTTCTTGCTAAGGGAGTCCCAGCACAGTGGGGGTTGGAAGGGACATCTGGAGATCATCTCCTCCAACCCTCCTGTAAGGTGCCCAGGGTCACATCCAGGCAGGGTTGGGAACTCTCCAGAGCCA